GCAGGGGCACTTATCTTTTGCTAGAGACGCCTCTTCTGGGGGCGCCCTTCCACTGCGGGGGACGTCTCTCTCCTGCCAGAGGCACCCCTTCTCTTCTTATGGGGCTCCTCTTTTTGCTTGGGCGCCCCTCTTCTGCTCGGAGCCGGGCACCACTCTCCTTTTACTGGGGCACAGCCCCTCTGCTGGGTGGCCCTTCCGCTGCCTCAGGGGCGCCCCTCTTGTGCAGAATATACTCCTTTTCTTCTTGTAATGAGGCGCCCCTCTTCTACCGGGGGCGCCCAACAGCTGCTGTCTGCTGGGGCGCCCATCTACTGCTGGGGCGTCTCTCTTCTGCCAGAAATTGTCAATGGGGCGCCCCTATCCTGCTTGGCGAGCCCAACCTCTGCTGAAGGCTCCCCATCTCTGATCAACTTTTGCTGTGGCACCTCTCTTCTGCTGGGGCGCCCCTCTTCTGCTGGGGGCGCCCCTCTCCTGCAGGGGACTCCTCTCTTCTGCTGGGGCGCCCCCTTCGCTGGGGCGCCCGTCTCCTGCTGGAGGCTCCTTTCTCCTGCTGGGCCCCCTCCGCTGCCGGGGCGCCCCTTTTCTGCCAGTGGCACCCATTTTTCTTATTATGGGGCTTCTCTTTTTTTTTTGTTGGGGCGCCTATCTGCTGTTAGGGCGCCCCTCTTCTTCTTTGAATGGGGGCGCCTCTCTACTTTTGCTGGGGCGTCGCTCCTTTTCAGGGGGACACCTCTCCTGCCAGGAGTGCCCCTCTTGAACAGAAGGCATCTTTTTATTCTTGTAATAAGACGCCCCTCTTCTGCTGGGGGCGCCCATATGCTTCTGGGGCGACTCTGATCTGCTGGGAATGGGCAATTGGGCGTCGCTCTCCTGCTTGGTGAGCCCAACTTCTGCTGGAGGCGCCCTATTTCTGCTCAACCTTTGCTGTGTCGCCTCTGTTTTGCTCGGGGCGCCCTCTCTGCCGCGGGCTATGGGCGCCTTTTTCGAATGTCGGGGGGGGGCGGCCGCCCCCGTCGCCCCCCTGGATCCGCGCCTGATTCGATTTGCCGTGAAAAACTGCATCAGATAGACTCCTTTTTAAGTCTTAACAACCAAATTCAAAATTTGACCTCACTTGACCTGACCTTGACCTGACCTCGACCTGAAATTCATCCAGATGTGGTCCATATCACTTATTGAGTGTGCCTATTGAATTCTATGAATAAAATGACCCATGAAACATGTGTCGCACATGCCCTTTTCTATATTTTGTTTCTGGTGACCTGACCTGACCTTGACCTTTGCATGACATTGTAGCCTATTGGTAGCCTAAGAACACGTTTTGGGCAATCAGTCTCAGTTCATTCTTTGGCAACTACGGTGCAAGGCCGATTCTGTACAAACTTGCATTTTGTACCCTTGACCTGACCTTGACCTGACCTCTGACCTACTTAAGCAAAAAAATTTGGCTCTTAACCTTCGCCCTGGTGGGGGGGGGGCCATTTTGGCCCCCCCCCCCTGTGGTTTTTCAGCGATAACTCAGAAACCACTTGAGTTAGCGCCCTGAAACTTTGTATAGCTGTTTATTCAACATTTTTACATCATGTCCTTTTTTGGGGGGTTCGGGTCAGGTCAGGTCAGGTCACAAGGTCACCAAAACTGACACCACCTCTAAAAAAGTTCAAAGCTCTCTCAAAGGCACAGCTTTTATCCGATCGATGTAAAATTTACAGTACTTGAAGATGTCACCCAGCTCTACAAAATGGCTATCTCGGATTTTTTATAAATGTGACCTAAGGTCAGGTCAGGTCATCGCTGCTCCCCATTATAAGTCAATGGGAGAATCGAAAAGTAGTTGTTTTTTCAGCTAAATCGGGCGTGATTGTTCCTATATTTCGTTATTGAAGTGTCTTGGGTCAGCAAATCACAGCCCATGTGAAACCATTTGCTTGTGACCTCGCTGAGGTCACGCTAGGTCATCTCCCTGGTCACCAGAGGTCACCAGCGGTTTTTCTGCACTTACTTGTTATTGAATAGAGATAGAGACTCCGTTCGACGTTTATCGTGTTTGTCTCGTCAATGCGGATCGAATGATATGCAGCATGACCTATTTCGGTAAGGTCATGACCTTGACCTGAGGTCAAATTTTCAAAATGACCTTTCGAGGTCAAACTATATATCATTCGACGCGTCTCGACGAGCCAAGCACGATGGTGCATGAATCGTTTCTCTATTTTCTCGTGAATGCATGCTATAGTTAAAAACATTTTCAACGAAATTTGCCAAGTTGACCTTGCATGACCTCTGTGGGCCAAACCGTTGAGCTGAGGTCAAATCTGACGAACCTTGGCGAAAGAGCTTGAAAAGAGCTATCGATTGCTTTTTTCCGCGGCTCTCTAGCTCTTCTAGTTTCCGAGCTACAGCGGAATATGTCCGGCAACACCGAAAACACTGAAATTTGACCTATGATGACCTCTAGCGACCTCAATATTGACCTTAGCGAAAAAATGACTGAAATACTTTCGAACGTACTTGTTATGGGCTTTCGTTTGCTTTTTTCCGCGTCTTCCTAGCCCTCTTCGTTTTCGAGTTAGACGGGGGGGGGGGTCATTTTGGCCCCCCCCCCCCACCAGGGCGAAGGTGGCTCAGACCCACACCAGGGCGCGGGTTAAGAGCCGCTCTGTTGAGAGCTTTTGATTGCCGTTTTCCCCGTCTTTCTACGACCATCAGTTCGGAAGTTAGACAGGGGGGCAGGATCGCCCCCCCCCCCCAGCAGGGCACGTATGGCTGAACATGATGTTAACCGCGGGGCACGGGTTAACATCATGTTCACTGCTGTTTTAGTACCGGGAAATGGCAATGATGTTAAAGGGACCCTCCCACCTTCAATAAAAATTATGAATTGGCATGAAAATGATGTCGCTCGGTTCAGAAAGAGCGAAAACGAATATCTACCAAATTTCATCGAAAAATATTCACCGGTTTTCAAGATATTAGACTTTTACTTTTGTTTACTTTTTTGGGATCTCCGCTATTTCTAGCGACTTTATTTTAGAAGTGCGGCGTTTGCGGCAGATGGTGCGCGCAAATAGCTTATACCTCCGCGTGCTACAAAACGTTTTAGTCAAACATTTAAAAATCGTTAGATATCTGCGCTGACGTCACACATTCAGAGGGGTATTCCTAAGCATTAGCCCCTCTGAATCAAAATGCTGCAATTTTGAAATTCAATATTTCTGAGTTAAGGCATTTCTCGATGTTGTGAGTGCCGAAACCGGTAATTGTGAGCCAGGGACCCCATTTTGGCTATCTCAACTCAAATCTTATGTTAAGGTGGGAAGGTCCCTTTAACCCGCGCCCCGTTGGGGTCTGACGAGCAACGCGCCCTGTTGGGGGGGAGGCAATTTGCCCCCCCCCCCCTAAGATCTCGAGAACCACGCAACATAGCGACAAGCGGCAAACGGTGCTGGATAGCCCCATCAGGGAACTACCTTGTGACCCAATTTCATTGACCTAGGTCAAACCGATGACGTCACAAGTCAGGTCAAAGGTCGAATTTTCACCGTTTACAGGCATTTCAAGAAATGCGTTGCAAAACCGAGTAAAATGCATTTCATTGAAAATCATCGATGGGGAAATCATGCTCGTCAAACACATATTTTGCTATTTGAGGTCACTGATACCAGGTCAGGTCACAGAGGTCAGGTCACTGAGGGTCACAATATGAAAATATCATGTGATGCATGTTTTATGGTCCATTTTACATGCCAAATAAGATTATGTGGGTCAGGCAGCCTTTGGGGTCAGTTTAGATTATGTTCTGGTGAAGGTCACGCCAAGGTCAGGTCAAGGTCAGGTCAAATTAGGTCAAAGTTCAAAGTTGATATTTTTGCATAAAATGGGCATCTATTCGATGCAGCTCGTCACGGGGAGTTCAATAGAGGTCTTTGTTTTGCGCTACGTGGTCTAGAATTGCTAAAATTTGAGATAAAAATTTGACGTCATCAATTTTGAAGTTTTTTCGCTATAACTTGGCCAAAAAAGGAGGTATCGATCTGAAATTTTGCAAGTATATAGAAGAGTGCAGGGACTATCACATATATTACGGTTTTTTCGTTATTCGGAAAATTTTGTTCTTTTAGCGTTTTTCTAAAAAACGAATTTTTTGATTTTTTGAGGGTCAAAAACCCAAAATTTTGAAAATCCGAGATGGCCATTTTGTAGCGCCTCCTCTTGTCTACATGACCATATAAAGAACTTTGATTGAAATTGCTTGGTAACTGTAGATTTTGTGAGCGTTTCAAGATATCATGTTTTTTTGCTCATTTTTGCTCGAACATGACCTCAGTTTGACCTCAATAACTCTTGACCTTAAGTGACCTAAGACTTGAAATTTTGAGTGAAGGTGTCAAATTGATGCCCGGGAAGGTACTGAAAATTTGGCGGCGCTGCGCACTGCCTTTTTCTTGTTTATCAGGAAAAACCACAGGGGGGGGGGGGCAAATTGGCGCCCCCCCAACGAGACGAGGGTTAAATATTAAAGCAGATGGAATCATGCATTTATATACTACTTGCAAGGTCTGCTGCTTCAATTAGGCACTGCTCAGATGTATTATATGACGTCACTAAGGTCATCAAAGTCAACTAGCTCCCCATCAAATTGAGCTAGCGAGCCTGGAAAGCCACCGATGAACTGAGCAAGACCTGCTGAAGTGACTGCTATGTAGTATGAGTTATGAGCTGCTATGGCCAACCTGGTGACATGAGCAACTTTAAATTGACATTAACCTAAGGTCAAAACCCTAAGAACCTAAGGTCAGGCCTGACCGACCCGACCAGCCATAACTCGCTGGAAGCAGAGCAAGGTCCGCGAGCTCAGTTACACGTGCTATAATGGCCCACCAATTCTCCGTCAATTTGAAAAATTGTTGTATTATAAATAAAAAAAATTGGCAAGGCCAAGCATAATAAAAGTACAATGTAAATGCTTTGCCTTTGCGCGGCTAAGAACAAATACTCACGTAAGAATGACGAAAAATCAGTCAAGAGACAACAACAAAGAAAGACTCAGATCAATCAAGACTTCTTTCACAGGCCTATTGCAAGAAAATGCTACTATTGATGTAACTGGAATTAACCCTTCGCCGTTGTGTAAAACGTTTCGCATGTCCCATGTAAAAAGATGATACGATTGTGAAGTGACTCCGACAGTTGTATTCAATAAGTATGTTCGCGAACAGCATCGACGAAATGACAAAAGCTGACAAATCAGCGCTTGCATTACCACGACCCTGATTGGTCTACTAACAATGACGTAGTTCTTTTACTCATTCTGACAGGTCTTAGAACATAGCCAAAGAAGCTAGCCAAGGCCCATGAATATAGAATGCCAGATGGAATGCTAAAGACTTTTTAAGTCTTTTGATAATTCTCAAAGCAAGATGGCGACTTATACGTACCGGGTGTTCACTAAAAAATGGGACAAATTTGTTTCGTGTGTATTTCGTGAAAAAATCACGCCAGTGAAACAAGTTCAGCACCACTACATTATCCTTCTTCTCCTCTTTCGAACTCTACAGCTCTCGAAGGCCTGTGTTCCCCTTGTCTGCCACAAAGCGGATCTTTGTCCGCGTGCGCCTCCATAGCTTTTGGCACGTGTCCGCCGTAATGGCAGCCATTTGGCGGCGGATTCGCTTGGTCAGCTGCTTCTTGGTCTCTGCTTCATAACCACCAGCGTACACACGTGACTTCAGGAGAGCCCAAAGTCGTTCGATGGGGCGGATTTGTGGTGCGGCTGGTGGGTTATCCTCCTTAGCCACAACAGGTATTTTCAGCTCTTCGAGGGTGGCAAGGACGTCCTTCTGGTAATGCGCCGGAGCGAGATCTGGCCAGAAAATAAACTTTTTACCACGGTAGTTGGCATCTACAAACTCCTTGAGCCTCGGTAGGCATTGGGTGCGGTAGACGTAGGCGTTCATTGCGCCACTCTCCATGATGAAGGGCTTGCTCAGCCCGTGTTCAGAAAAGGCCACCCAAACCATGACTTTTGGCGTGAACTTCTCCACTGTGGCGAACCGCACACCATCCCCGGCTCCAGATGCATCATCTGTATAAAATCCAACTTTTCCCGGCTGACTGTGACCTTTCATAGGGAAATATGACTCATCGTCCATGATAATTTGAGTTTTGTTGGTGGGCTTCATAGCGCTCCTTCGAAGCTTGCCACACCTGGTCTTCTGCTTTATTTTTTGGTCCTCTGTGGCCGCCGGAACACGCTTTCGGCGTCTGTAGCGTAACTTCGTCTTAGTGCTAAGTATTTTGCTGATGTAGCTGAGGCTTACACCAAACTTCCGTGCAGCCTTTCGCTGTGAGGCGCCGATGTGTTCCTTCATGTACCTTTGTAGGTTTAAGATCTCTTTTGGGGTCATTTTTTTCGCCTTCCGACCACTTCCCGGCTTCCTGCTAAGGGAGTCCCCTGTATCAAGCTTTTCCATGACGCGATACAGTGTTGTTTTCGAAATTCCCATCTTTTGGAAGTGTTTGTAAGTAAATGACTTCCCTTTGGACCAGTGCTCTTTATAAAAGGTGCCAATGAGCTCCCTTCGCTGTCTGCCTGTTAACCCGTCCATTTTGTCTGGGGGCTGATCAAAAATGAATTCAAGCGCGGTCATGTGTTAAAAATGTTGTATTTTCCACGTGCACTAAAATGCAGTAATCTATCCAGACGCACTTTCAACTGACAGCGCACAGAATATTGTCCCATTTTTTAGTGAACACCCTATAAACGTTACAGACAAGGCTATGTAAACCATTACACAAATGAGAATAAGAATATAAGAATATATAAGAATATAAACCATTCACTTGTTTGTTTTTTGTTTGTTGAGGGAAAGGGGGCCGGGCGCGCTAACTACAAGTTCATTTGTATTTGTATGTTGTTGTATTTGCGTTCATCTTTTGTCTTTAATCTTTATCATATGACATGACATTTATGTTTTACACTCATGTAGTTAGGAAAATATGTAACCACAGAAGCGTATTTCAGAAGCGTATTTCAAGGTCTGGCAGAATTTTGAGAATGAGTTCTGCCAGGCGCCAGCCACGGGGACCCCGGCATTCTTGCATTCATTCTTTCATACCAATTCTTTTGAATTAGACATTCCATAAAATAAAACCGCAATTAGTGATGCATTAAAATTGATGCGCTTAGTTAAAACTTTAAGTCCACATATCGTGCAAACTGAATTTCCATGCATGGCATTGCTCTTTCCACATTTCTCCGGACTCAATGTTTTTCCGAGTATTTCTAGTGACCTAGTTGAAAAGCTAGTGACTTTCCGATATGTCACTAGTATTTACTGTTTAGATTCTCGCTAGTGTCATCTGGCATTTCGGTGTGCCCACCAGCGATGCCATTCCTTGGGATTTGTCCCAAGATCTTGGGATTTGAACATTAACATTGGGATCTTGTGATTTGCACTGCATGTCTTGGGATCTGGCAGAAGCTGATTTCAATTTGTCTTCTCATGCTGTCGAATGCTTTTTCCTTGGTCGATAATAGATTTAAGAATGGATCTGCCTCACGGTCGGTTAATCAAACATATTGAAGTAACGGACGAAGCTTGCAATGTTTTTAGCAGGCATTATCTTCCCGAGATCGCAGCATTATTTTTGTACCACCAGTATAACGCCTTTTGGGGCGACTAACGGAGCGAGCGAGAGGGTGAGCCTTGCACGTGCGAAATTTCGAGGGGGTACCTCCAACTGACTTGTGCACGGCACCCTACTAACCGGTCTCTAGCGATGTGCCAAATTTGAGCACAATCGGCCCAGCCGTTCTCGAGATCTGGAAGCGGCACCCTGCACGTGCGCACGTGCAAAATGGGTCCCAACTGACTTGTGCACGGCACCCTACTAACTGGTCCCTAATCGTGTACCAAATTTGAGCGCCATCGGTCCAGCCGTTCTCGAGATCTGGAAACGACCCCTGCACGTGCGCACGTGCAGCAGCACCCCAACTCTGGCACATGGATATGCAGTGCCTAGTGGGTGCCTATCTACATGCCAACTTTCAGCGCAATCGGCCAAGTAGTTACCGAGATATTGCAACAATTACAAAACTGACACCTCTTCGTTTTGCACGTGGCACGTGCATAAGGGGTCACCCACATGCATCGGGAATAGTCCAATACTTGGTAGAAGGAATGAAGCTACCCTACAAAATTTACCACATGTAAATCGGTCAAGTGGTTGCTGAGATATAAGCCTCGCAAAAGCGTCCGCACGGCCGGCCGGCCGGCCGCTCATACTCAGAAATTTCCGTTAATCTAAGGAAAGACTCCGCTCGCTTCGCTCGCTCCGTAATTACTTGTTATGGGTATAGTAGCAGCTTTCAGTCGCTGTTCGCAACTGGCGCTCATTTGTTTAATTTCCAACTACCTATCAATGGGGATGGGTGGTTTGGCGGCATGATGTTGGGTGGCTAGGAAAAGCTTTTACAAACATTATGCCTAAAAAAAAAAATATTTCAGAAAGCGGCTCCCGCACAAAGCGTTTCATTTTACGGTTTTGCTTTATGGAGGCTTATCCGTTGAACGCGAACCAAAATAAGGGCAATTTGTCTTTGACCTCGGAAAAGTGTCTAGTCACCTGACCTCTTGGCTCAGCTGGACCAAAAATAATCAAAGCGTAACCTTGCGACCTTCACAACACTGCTGACGTCTTGTAACTATATAGTCCAGGGGACGAGTTAGGTCCTCGTTTAGACCCCCTCGCCATCGTCGGCTTGAAAATTCATGGGCCCCAGCCAGGGGCGGCGCCACGGGTTTTCGATAGGGGGGGACGGGGACTGTAGCTGTCCGAAAATCCCAAAAGTAGATACTGATCGTGTATGCAAAAAAAAAAACGAGGCACGTAACGCCGCGAAACTTGGCAAAGCCCAAAACACATCGAATGGTGCATTCCGTTTCCAAACCTATCCTAGGACACCTAAGATCGATCACCTTTTCAAGCATCCTTGCCTCTAAATCAAAATTTGCAGTCTTGCCAACTCAAAGCTGGTTTCCTACAAGCTGCGAATTGCTTAGGGATACTGGCCGCGTGGCCGAGTGGATTGGGTGTCCGGCTGGAAATCCGGAGGCGGGAAGTTCGCGACCGGTCGGTCAGTGTCGAGTAGCAGTGCCAACTATTCTTACGTTTCGTACTTTCAAATTTTCGATCTTACGTCTGATCAGCTTCATGGCTTCACCATCATATAGTCATGGAGGAAAAGTGGGAATGTCTTCTGCTCTGACAAGTGCGCCAAAACTGCAATATAATTTCAGAATCATGACATCACCACCTGATCCATATGCAACGGACAGGGTGCAGCTAATGGCTAGCCGTCAGTGGTCATGTCATTGGTGGTCACTCAAAAGGTCATGCTAGGTCATGGAAGGTCACCAGCCGTTATTTGATCACACTTTCTGATGGATTTTACTTACCAAGAGCTTCGCGGGAAAAACGAGCGCATGCCGCATGCACCGTTGAAAAAAATTGAGTGAAAGGGTCTCAGGCCCGGCGGCCTCTGCAGGTGAAATTCCCCAGGGTAGGATTCCGGTCCTTGTTGATTAACTTCGTCAAAAATGGCAGTAGAGCTGTGATGTCGGCACCATTGTGTTCGTCATGATCGAGCTGGCACGACCTGCATCGTTCTCATATTCACCCTCCAATCGTAACAACACAGCATGGGGATTGGCAAATGGCGGGGCACCCCCTTTGGGAGGTAATGAAGGTCTCTGGAAACCTCATCCCTCATCTCTTTAGCATTAGTGGCTCTCCTTATGGAACAGGTTTCTTGACTGGTCTGTTTCACCCCAGAATTCAAAGACTAGTCAAGGTAAAACCGAGCGCACCACAGTGAGCACAATTTGATAAGCTTGTGTATCTCAGTTTCCATGTAGAACCTTTCACGTATCACGTACCTAAAACACTTTCGTGCACTCATGCAAAAGCAACTGCCATGTTTCAATAGCTGGTAATGGCATTTTCACAGCCGCTGACGTAAGAAGGGGAGGGGGGGGCTCGATTAGACCCCCAGCCGTTCGGCCGCCGACTGAACTTAGTTTTGCAGAAAAAAACGAGTGCTATCGAACCCCTTGACGAGAGGGAGCCGATGCTACCCAATTATAAGGTCTTGGGCTACTGCGTGCTTTTTTGGTCC